TTTATTTGAGAGAATTATAGCTGAAAACTTCCTAATCTGGAGAAGGACACAGACATCAAAAGCCAGGAGGCACAAAGAACTACCATCAAAATCAACAAAAGCAAGCCAACACCAAGATACAGCACGGTGAAATTTACAAAATACACAGATAAGGAAAGAATCTTGTAAGCAGCAAGGGAAAAAAATTCCTTAACCTAGAAGAGAAAACAAATCAGCTTTGCATCAGATGGATCCACAGAAACTTAACAGGCCAGAAGAGAGTGGCATGATATACTCAATGTGCTGAATGGGAAAAATATGCAGCCAAGAATTCTTTATCCATTAAGGCTGTCATTCAGAATAGAAGAAGAGATAGAGTTTCCCAGACAAACAAAAACTAAAGGAGTTCATGGCCACTAAGCCAGCTGTGAAAGAAATTTTAAGGGGGACTGTGTGAGTGGAGAAAAAAAGACGAAAAGCAACAAAGACTAGAAAGTAACAGAGAAAATATCCAGAAACACCAACTTTACAGTTAATACAATGGCACTAAATTCATATATATCAATAATCAATCTGAATGTAAATGGACTATATTCTCCAATCAAAAGACAAAAGGTATCAGAATGGATAAAAAAAAAAAAAAACAAGACCTATCTATATGCTGCTTAAAGGAGACTCATTTTACAACTAAAGACACCTGCAGATTCAAAGTGAGGGGATGGAGAGCCTTTCATCATGCTAATGGATGTCAAAAGAAATCCAGAGTGGCAATACTTATACCAGAAAACTAGATTTTAAACCAAAGACTGTGAGAAGAGATGAAGAAGGGCACCATATCATAATTAAGGGATCTATCCAACAAGAATTTCTAACAATTGTAAATATTTATCCCCAATTTGGGACCCAAATATGTAAATCAAACAAACATAAACAAACTCACTGACAATAATACAATAATACTAGAGGACTTTAGTGCTCCCATTTAGAACAATGGACAGATCATCAGGCAGAAAATCAAAAATGAAACAATGGCTTTGAATGACACACTGGACCAGATGGACTTAATAGATATATTCATAACATTTCATCCTAAAGTAGCAGAATACACATTCTTCTCAAGTGCAGATAGAACATTCTCCAGAATAGATCACATACTGGGTCACAAATTAGGCCTCAACAAGTACAAAAAAGACTGAGATCATACCGTGCATAATAGACCACAATGCTATGAAATTTAGCGTCAAACCAGAAAAAATTTGGAAAGACCACAAATTCATGGAGGTGAAAGAACATCCTAGTAAGAATGAATGGGTTAACCAGGAAATTAAAGAGAAAATAAAAAAGTACAAAGAAGCAAATGAAAATGAAAACACATAGCAGAGGCAGTCCTAAGAGGGAAGTATATTGTAATACATGCCTACCTCACCAAACAAGAAAATTCTCAAATATACAACCTAACCTTACATCTAAAGGAGCTACAAAAGGAGCAAGAAATAAAGCCGAAAGCCAACAGAAGAGAAATAATAAAGATTAGAGCAGAAATAAACAATATAGAAACAAAAAAAAAAACATAGAACAGATCAAAGAATTAAGAAAATTGATAAACCCCTAGCCAGACTTATCAAAAAAAGAGAAAGGAACAAAGAAATAAAATCACAAATGAAAGAGGAGAGATCACAAGCAAAACCACAGCAATATAATTATAAGAGAATATTATGAAAAGTTATATGCCAATAAATGGGCAATGTGGAAGAAATGGAAAAATTCCTAGAAACATACAAACTACCAAAATTGAAACAGGAAGAGTTAGAAAATTTGAACAGACCCATAATCAGCAAGGAAATCAGTAATCAAAAATGTACCAACATCAAGGCATCAATCCCATTTGCAACTGCACCAAAAACCATAAGATCCCTAGGACTAAACCTAACCAAAGAGACAAATGTTCTGTACTCTGAAAACTATAGAACACTTATGAAAGAAATTGAAGAGGACACAAAGAAATGGAAAAACATTCCATGTTCATAGAGTGAAAGAACAAACATGGTTAAAATGTCTATACTACCCAAAACAACCTACACTTTTAATGCAATCCCTATCAAAATACCACAAGCATTTTTCACAGAGCCAGAACGATTATGGAACCACAAAAGACCTGGAATGGCCAAAACATCCCGGAAAAAGAAAAGCAAAGATGGAGACATCACGATTCTGGACTTCAAGCTATATTTTGAAGCTGTGATCACCAAGACAGTATGGTATTGGCACAAAAACAGACACATAGATCAATGGAACGGAATAGAGACTCCAGAAATGGACCCTCAACTCTATGGTCCACTAATCTTCGAAAAACCAGGAAAGAATATCCAATGGAAAAAAGACAGTCTCTTCAATAAATGGTGCTGGGGAAATTGGACAGCCATATGCAGAAGAATGAAACTGGACCATTCTCTTACACCATACACAAAGATAAACTCAAAATGGATGAAAGACCTCAATGTGAGACAGGAATCCATCAAAATCCTAGAGAAGAACAGAGGCAGCAACCTCCATGACCTTGGCTACAGCAACTTCTTGCTGGATACGTCTCCAAAGGCAAGGGAAACAAGCAAAAATGAACTACTGGGACTTCATCAAGATAAAAACTTCTGCACAGTAATGGGAACACTCAATAAAACTAAAAGGCAATGTACAGTATGGGAGAAGATTTTTGCAAAGGACATATCAGATAAAGCACTATTATCCAAAATCTAGAAAGAACTTATCAAACTCAACACCTAAAAAATAAATAATCCAGTTAAAAAATGGGCAAAAGACATGAACAGATATTTCTCCAAAGAAGACATACAGGTGGCTAATAGACACATGAAAAGATGCTCAGTATTACTCATCATCAGGGAAATACAAACCACAACCACGATGATATGCCACCTCACAACTGTCAGAATGGCTAAAATTAACAACACAGGAAACAACAGGTGTTGGAGAGGATGTGGAGCAAGGGGAACCCTCCTACGCTGTAGGTGGGAATGCAAAGTGGTGCATTCACCCTGGAAAACAGTATGGAGGTTCCTCAAAAAGTCAAAAATAGAACTCCCCTATGATCCAGCAATTGCACTACTAGGTATTTAACCAAAGGATACAAAAATACAGATTCAAAGAGGCACATGATCCTCGATGTTTATAGCAGCATTATCAACAAGAGCCAAACTATAGAAAGAGCCCAAAGCCCATCTACTGATGAATGGATAAAGAAGATGTGGTGTGTATATATATATATATATACATATATATATATATATACACACACACACACACACACACACACACACATAATGGAATATTACTCAGCTATCAAAAAGAATGAAATCTTGCCATTTGCAATGATGTAGATGGAGCTACAGCACATTATGCTAAGCGAAATAAGTCAGAGAAAGACAAATACCATTTGATTTCACTCATATGTGGAATTTAAGAAAGAAAACAGATGAACACAGAGGAAGGGAGAAAAAAAAAGAGAGAGGGAAGCAAACCGTAAGAGACTCTTACCTATAGAGAATAATCTGAGGGTTGATGGAGGGAGGTGGGTGGGGTATGGGCTAAATGGTTGATGGGTATTAAGGAGGGCACTTGTGATGAGCACTGGGTATTATATGTAAGTGATGAATCACTAAATTCTTCTTCTGAAACTAATGTTTTACTATATGTTAACTAACAGGAATTTAAATAAAAACTTGAGAGTAAAAAAAAAACAACAACAAAAAAACCCATATAAATAGTTTAAGAACTCAAATATAAATATCAGGAATAATTCCATCATTCAAAAACATGCACAAAGATTTCTATGTAGTTAAAGAAATGTTTTACATGGCCAAAATCTTTTGGAATGAGAAGCTCATATATAATTTTGCTTTTTCTTATCAGAAAGATAAAAAAAAACATTTTAAAGCAAAAAATAAGATGAAGTTTAACGGTAATTGGACTAATGATTTCACAATCTGATTTTTACAAAAGAGCCCCCCATGTGTTTGTAAATTAAACAAATTCATGAGTCAGAAAAGAAATCATAAGAGAAATTACAATTGAATGACAATAAAATACTACATATAAAAATCTGTGAAATTCTTTTAACATCATATGTAGTAGAAGATTTATAGTCATAAATTCTTATTTTAGAAAAGGAGCTTGATAGTCACTGGGCTAAAAGTCCAGAAGAAAAATTAGAAAAAGAGCAAACATAAAGCAAGTAAAGAAAATAATAAAGATTAAAACAAAAATTTTAAAAACAACATACTCAATGGTGAGGGTGATGAAACCAAAATCAGAAAATACATTAGAAATTGATTACTGTAATTTATCACATGGTCACACTCTCAAATTAATGGAGAAAAACTCCATATTCCTTCATAATTAAAATGTCTCAGCATACTAAGACTAGAAATGAATTTCCTTATCCTGAAGAAGCAAATCTAAAAATGGTGAAACATTTGTAGAATTCCCTTGTAAATTCAAAAGCAAGAGAAGAAAATCCTCTATCACTGTTACTGTTTCTCATTGTAGTGAAGATCCTAGCTGGCACAGTAAGACAAGCTAAAAAAAGAAATAGTGACAAGAAACTGCCATTATTCACAATATAATTAATATATAATCCCAGAAAATCTATAAATTATCAGAACAAACAGAATTCAGAAAGACTGTAGCATATAAAATCAGTATGTAAAAATATCAATCATGTTCCCATTTACCAGCAAAAAATCAGAAAATGGGTTTTAAACACATTTACACATTTCCCAGTAACAACAAAAACTATAAAGTAATTAGGAGTGAATCTAACAAAGCAGCTTATAAATTAATTATTATTATATGGTATATGTGGTTTCATATAATGTAGAAAATAAATTTCAATTTTACCATTTGGTGCTAGCTTTGTTTTTTGTTTGGCTATTTCTTTTTACAACTCTTATTCCTCTTCCTCCCTTAATAAGTGTTTTGGTAAATAAATTACCTTAAAACACAATTACCTGGTGCAGGACATCAGAAAAAGCAGGGCAGCGGTGTCAATAATCTTCATTGTCTTCACTAGATGAACCATTTTATGAATGCACCAAGGAAATGGAGTCATTCTGCAATCCCTCAAAGACTGAAAAATAATAAAATAAGGTAAAATGATTTCCTCTGTTATTGTCCATCTCTCTTCCCTGGCCTCCTAAGTCCTTATGATCTACCATGCTCCCGTTTCTATTATATATTCCTGTAAAACAGTTAAATGGATAGTATTAAAAGAGGTCTATTGCAAATTAAGAGCATAGATTCTGGAAGCACTTTAGAACAGGGTCTAGCACATAAAAAATGTTTAGTAAATATGTGCTATTATTACAATTTTCAATGATTTGAATCACTAGAGGAAATTATGTAGCTCTTGAACTTTTTGCCTTGCACAATCTCCTTTGTTTTCTATCTGAGCACTGCTATCCCTATGCCCTACCCCCTACCACCATTACCCTTTTGGACATTGAAGTAAAGTTGAGGCAAATCAGAGTGTAAAGGAATGACTGGATGATGCTTTCAAGCAAAACCAGAGCTCATTCTTTTTCTATGCACTATCTCTAAGTCCCAAGTCCAGAGCCTACTTAGTTTCCACTGTTATCCTAGCATTTATTGACTTATTTATTCAAATATGTTTCATTCCTACTATGTACCAGGCACCATGCCTTGTCATCCATTCCCTACAGCTCCCAGCACAATGCCTAGTCCTTTGCAAGGGCTCCATAATGGTTTATTGCATGAATGAAGAAAGGATGCCCTGTTTCCTTGGATTACAAGAATCTGTGATGCTTGGGTCAGATTTGGTTTTCTTTTTTGCATTCTAGAAGGTCATCTAAATAGAAGGTTGTTCCTCTGATAGGAAAAACTGGACTCCTAAAATACATCACTTGATAGAAAATCTACCAGTGGTTACCACCACCTTTGGATTAAACTACATACTCCTTAGCATAACATTCAAGGCCCTGAAACACTCTATCGCACCTCCAAGTCTTTCTCCAAGATTCAGTTACACCCGAGCTTTTCACAGAAGAAGTCTGCTTTGGGGCTTTTGTCCTGGAAACACCAGACCTGAAAAGCATTCTCTCCTTTCCACAAGACAGATGTCACTCACCCTTTAAGGCCCACCCAAAGTTCCCCTTTCCTTTTTGATGGGTCATGATTACAACCAGGCAAAAGAACTTTGTCCATCTTGAGTGATCCCTGCATACCCTGAACAAGCACTTGGGTTTACATTTACCACAATGTAACTTTTTTCTCTTTCTTTCTTTTTTTTTTTTTACTTACGAAATTTTCCTGCCACACACAGAGAAATACATTCCTGACGACTAACTTTAGAATACCCTCTGTCAGCACAGGAATTAGGCCTATTAGCATAGGAATGAGGCCTTCCATATGTTATTGATCTTGAATCAATGACTCTTTTTAAATGGAAAAGTTTCAAATATACACAAAAGTGAGAACAGTATAATGAATCTCCACGTATACATTACCCAGTTATGATCAACTCATAAACATTTTGTTTGTAACCCCCACTTCGGCCCCACTGAATTACTTTTAAGCATATCAAAAGATTTAAATCTATTTCTTAAAAAATATAACCACAATTATCACAGCTAATATATTAAAAATAATTAACTAATGTCTATAAATATCCATAATTTCACCCACACGTATTTTGTGAAAGAGCTATTTAATGCCCCCTTTTTTGTTTGTTTATTTTGTTTTTCAATTTTGAAATCGTGGAAAGAATAGAGAAAAGAGGAATGAGACCTGGGAAATTGCATAATTAAGTTGCAGAGAGCCTGGATGTTCAAGATGAGAAAGAAAGAATCTGACCTGGTTTGGGGTGGGATAAGTATATTCTACTACTTCTCCGGAGGAGGAGGGTGCGATTTCAGGCCCGGTGATGCAGGAGAAGGTGCGGAGGGAAGAGGGTTACTACCTCCGTTGGGGGTTCCTTCTGGATAATCCCACCGTGGAGCTAGGAGGCAGCGCTTTTTTGGAGGCCTGGTTTCCCGGGTATTTCCAGGTGGGAGCGTGGATCTCCCGGAGGCACAAGGTTGGTCCCCCATAAGGATTATAGGACTGGGCGTCAGCTCTCTCTAGTGGACCCGGCGAGGCCGAGACCTGAGATGGCGGCGGGTCCCTTCCAGGCACAGAGCTTCCTCCGGGTTTCGCGCTTACCGTATTTCCTGTATCCTGAAACGCATATCCCCTCTCCGTCTCCACCCTCCCCTCCTACTCCACCCTATTTTAATGTTTCTACAGAGGAGGGTCTTAAGAAGACGAAGCGTGTATTTAATATTTAATGTTTTTTCTCTGCCCGTCCCCCCAAATGTAACTAAATCTATGTTCTGTCTTACACAATCTATGCAATTTTAAGATCAGAAGAAATTTAGGTTTACTCCTAAATGGTAAACTCTGCATAGATTGTGGAAAAGCTCGGAGAG